TTTTAATGATATTTTCAGTTAAATTTCTGGGATTATTTCAGTTCAGTAAATTCATGTTCGATCAGTTCATGTCAGTTCAATTCCAGTTATTCCAGTTAAGTCTAAGTATCATGTCAGGTTAAGTAGAGCATCTTAACAAAAATTAATCAGTTAAGTTAACAGTCTGAGCATAGTCATTAGAAATTGTTTATATTATTTTCAGTTTGATCAGGCATCAGCACTACCGTTCAGTTCAGCAGTTCAGGTGGGGACTCAGACTAAGTACTACATTGATTATAATTACGGTACCATGTTTGAGGTATGTATTTCAGGTGAGGTATCCGCTCGGAATGTTCGCCGGTCCATTCTGGGTTCTAGTGGCCCTAGTCTGCCCACTAGAGTGTGCACATGGTGTCCGGCTTTGCCGACAGATGAGGTAACGGTCAGGGTCACGTTTGCGTGACGATTTCAAATTCATGTTCATGTTATTACCGGCTTGAGGTTGAGGTTGAGGTTATGTATATACTGATATCATGATGTTGTTATTATTTTCAATGTTTACATTAGTATGAGTTTCCATGGAGCACAGTGCCATAGTGCTCATTTCCCACTTTTATCATGTTTTTCAGGTCAGGACGTCGGGCCGGGAGCATGAGCTGACAGAGACTTCAAGACATTTATGTTTTTGGACTGTATATTTATGATGATGACTTACGCTTCCGCTAATGATGTTTTGATGACTTTTGACGAACTTACGTTTTGACCGAACTCTTGGAAAAACTTTATGTTTCAATATCAGTATGATTTAATTAAAAATTAAAATAACGGTTTTTCCAAATTAACTCATGATTTTAAGGTAGCACCCCGAATCAGTTTTCGCAAAGTAAAAGGCTTTATTTTTAAATAACTTTGCAAAATTTTCGCACTCTGATTTTACGATAAGGAGGGGTGTTACAAAAACAAAGGAGACTGATTTCCCTTGGCCTCTTGTTCATCAGAGTAGTTAAGTCCATGAGGCTATCATTGGGATTCCTGAGGAGCCTCCCTTCCTTTTGTGTTGTTCTTCTCCATGTGGCTCTGCCCATCCCTGTCCCCTTCTTGCTTTTCCCTTTGGCTTTAGCAGCTTCTCTGTGAGGGGGAGCATCCTCACCAGTGGTATTGTTTGCCATCATCGCCATTTCTGCTTGAGAGGATGAATCTCCTTTATGAACTGGACTAGGGTTAGGATTGTAAATGACCAGCCCTTTCTCTGGAGATTTAGAGGGGAAATGATCTTTATTTGTACTGGTAGCTTGGTTCCCATTTGGATCATTCTGGATGTGGGCTATAAGTTTAGCAGAAGCATCATTAGTCATTACCTCCTCATTGTGATTTGTGTTGGGGTTAGTATCAATATTGGTAGGGGATGTAGATGGCTCCTTTGCTTGCCCAGATGAAGACGTCCCCTGATTCCAATTTTGACTCTGCAACCCTTCAGTGGCTCGCAACCAATCACCAAATTGACCCTCATGGAGCATCTTTTTCTTGATATCATCCATTCTCAGCTTACAGGACTTCTCAATGTGTCCTATCATGCCGCAGTAGAAACAGAGATTAACTAGGCGTTCATATTTGAATGTAATGGTGACAGTTTGGGAGCCCAGTCTAATGGAGGTGCATCTGGGTAGCGGTTCAGTAATATCGACAGTAACTAGCAATTTTATGAGTCGACCTCCTTGATAGGCTAGGTTGGTAACCACTACGTTGGACACATCTTTGAAAATTTGGCCGAATTTGAGACCCACCTCAGACGTCATCTAGTTAAGGGGTACATTACGGACTTGCACCCAGATATTTAGCTCTGAGAAGCATTTAGCAGAGCTATTCATGCCTGGTTCCCACCGCCTGAGTATGAGAAAATGATTTTGGAAGATCCAGTTCGTGCCTCCTTCAACTTTCTGAAGATCCTCAGTATTGGCAAAAATGAATTGGAAGAAATTCGCTCCCAACTCTTTAACTTCCAAGGAGCTTTTCAGATGCCAAATCTGAGTCATGGCTTTTTTGATACCCGCTAGGCTAGCCTTTTTATCACCCGCTATGTGGACAAAAAGGCTATGGTGACATTCTTCCACACCCGATCTGACATCAGCATCCCCTAGATCCATGATTTTGTTCTCCACTTTGGAAAGTGAAAAAACCCTAAGTCATTGTTCTACTTCATCAGCAGCCGATTGAGAAAACTGATCCGCCATAGGATCGATTAAAGGCTAAAGAAAAACGAGACCTCTCCAGTGAGAGGAAAGAAACTTGCGAAAGAAGATGCTCTCCGACGAGAGAAATGGCTCCCCTAGAGAGAGAATCGGGTTAGTTGTCTAGTGAGAGCTTGTTAGTTTTTTTTTATGGCCTCCAATCAAATGATTGAAAAGTCGAAAGTTAAAATAAAATCATACTTTTTGACCGAGATTTGCATGGTATCAACTTCAGGCATTATATATAAAATAAGTATAACGAATAAGTTATCATTAACTGTGTCCTTTTTTTTGGTATATGGATATTTTTTTTTTGAAACAATAAATAGTTTTATAGATAAAAGACACAAACTTGCAAAGTTACAATTCCTAGGTGAATGAAAGACGGAACTGAAAACCACCTAGAACCGACACTATAGCAACGCTAGAAACCAAAACACAAGACTTACAACTGGGATATGAATATTTACATTCAATAAAGGTAAAAAATATTAAAAATCAATATTAATATAAATAAAATAAAAGAGTACATTTTATAAAAAAACAAAGGGCGTCAATTGGATTGTATAATTATTTAAAATAGTTTTAAAATTATACATTTTCTTAATCCC